GCAGAGGCAGGAAGAAGGCTGGGTTGAATAGTCCTCCAAATGGAGGAGGATCTGGAGGAGGGTCTTCCTCCTCCCACCATGACATGTTGGTCATCCTCTGTAGGAGAGGAGGCCCTGCTGTGAAAAGGCCGAGACGGAGAGGAGGGATCCTGGTACTCGGGTGCTCCCGGCTGAAAGAAGGGTGGAGGAGTGGAGGTCACTGATTCAGGTCTCGGCCCGTGATAGGACCTGGCAGCCAGGGCCCTGTCAACTACCTGGGTGATCAGGGCTTGGAGGCGATCCTCCAAGGGGAAGCCATCGGGCTCAACCCCCCTGAGTCCTGCCGCTGTGAGGGTAAAGGTGGCCTCTGGTATAGTGTGTAGCCCATGGTGGCAATGATGGTTGATGGACCGCTTGTGCTTGTTCCACCTTAGAAAACCTGGGGAGTCTCCTCCGGGAACCATACCCCTTGGGTAGAGGGTCCCAAGGGGAGATCAAAGGGCGCATCCTCTATTTGTTCCGCCTTTGCCCTGATTTGCTTTTGCACTTTGGAAAATTCCTTCTCCAAAGCCTGGTGCCTTCTGCTAGCCTGTTTCTCTGCCAACTTGGAAGGTTTCCTTCCAGAAATGATTTTAGCCTTGGCTTTGATCCTGCCTGCCACCTCCTGCTTGGAGGATTTTTGTCTTTTGCGGCTGGTAGGAGGGGAGGCAGTGTTCTTGGATTGAAACACCGTGGGCACCTCCATCCTGATGTGAACTATCTCAGCGGTGCCGAGAGGGAGTTTCTGGCAGGGGATCAGTTGACGAGATAGGCTGAGCAGGTAAGTAGGGAATTGGTCATCCTGTTCTCCTGACCACCTGACCGATGAAGACAAAGGGCCACTTTTCTCCCCCCTTCGGGGGTCCGGTCTTCTCTACGGTTGTGGCAAAAATCTGCTCACTCGTAGGATAGCTGCTAATGTTTCAATGTGGTCAAGGCATAAAATTCACCAGATTCATTGAGCAGGCACTTCTAAAATTGTGTAATAAATTTATATGGATAATTACTAATTATTTAATTATTATTATTATACATTTTATTTATTTATCTATTTATTATTTATTTATCCTTGGATTGTGATGTGCATGGGTCAAGGTAGTGCTGTTACAATAGGTTTACCATTGAAATGGGGGAGGGGGGGTTGGGTGGCTAAGGAAAAACGCCGGCGATCGGCTCCGTCGACGTGTGGCTCTCCCTACAGGGGAAAGCAGAGGGACCGATCCTTGTGCTTTCCTGCCTCTGAGGCTCAGAAAAAAACTCTGTCAGGATTAGAAGCTTAATTAACTAGATCAGCTGCCAAGCTTGTTCTGGCAGTCAAAATGGCGACCGGAACGGTTCCTCATAAAGAAGGGGAGGTCATTTGCAGGACTTCCGCTCTTGCGGCGGGAAAATTGGAAAACTGAAGAAAGGTTTGTCTCCTGCAGCCACAGTGTGTTCCGGCATCCAAAATGGCAGCCAGAGCAAGCAAGCGCAGTGGTGAAGCGATCGGTTAGATTAAAATCAAGGAATCTGAAGGAATGGCGGCCACCGCTCCAATGGACAAGGCCCAGCCGATTTTCACGTGTAACAACGAGATAGAGGGAATTCCCCCCTTTCCCTTTTTGTGAAGATTGGAGCCTGGCTGTCGCGCTGATCACAGCGCTGAACAGATGATCAGGGCTTTCTCCTTTTAGGAGAGCTGGAATCTCAGTAGAAGTTTCAGATCTGGGAGAGGGAGAACTCACCCCCCCTGGCCTTCCACAGCCTATTTCATCCAGTGCTGATCCCAGCGCTGCTGAAGAGGCTGTGAATGAGGAGAAAACAGAATCCACCAATATATTATTTTCTGTTACCTGCCTAGACCGGGAGCCAGATTTGTCATGTCAGTCTGAGCTGAAGACCAAGTCAAGACTGGGAGGGGCTACCCAGAAATGGGCGTGGCAAATTTGGCTGACTTGGTCTAATGGGCAGGAAGGCAGAGCTAACCCATTGGTGGATTCTCCATCTCCGGTGCTGGAGAAATATAGGTTTATCATAATTTATGTATAAATTGGAATATATCAAATTTTATTTATTGTCTTCCAAAATATCAATAATCCAAAGAATTAATCTGCAATGTGTATGCCATAACTCACAAAGAACCTAGAGTAGCAAATAATCAAAAAGTAGGCAGTTCATTTCTAATATTTAATTTTTAATTCTATATAGGAAGCTATATAAAAAGGACATACATACTGTTTATTATAGCTGGCAGAATTATTCCTATTATCGTAGCTCAGGAATGGGGAACTTATAATTCTCCTAATGATAGTGAACATCAAACTGCAATTTCACTAGCCACTTTGACTAACAGTGAGAAATGCTGGGAAGATCACAGGTATCCATTCTAAACTGAACATACAAAGGATTAGTAATAATTTTCTAACATAAACTAAAGTGTCATTAAGCTATGTTTTCTCTGCAAATCTGAAACTCAATTAAAAAATCAATTCTTTCTAGTAGTAGCAGTAGCAGTAGTAGCCACAGTGATGTAATGGTTACAACACATCTGTACCTGTAACAAACATATCAGTAATGAAAAATGAATGTGGCTTTATCCAAAATAAGCTGCCCAGAGTCACTGATTGCTGAATGGAATACTATTTTAATAAATTATTTACCATAACACTATTTTTAATTCAACACTCTCAGCTATTACCAAGCCAATATCAAATAATCCATAATCAGATTCAAGAGTCAGACAAATACATAAGGTTGGATAGTCTTAAACATTCCAGTACTATTAAAAGTTAAATATTGCAGTATCAATTGTCTACATCAGAAAATAATTTTCTTTATGGTAATATTTTGTATTTGTAAGATGTGATAATCTTAACAATTTCAGTTTATCTTAACAATTCGGTTTTAACAGTTTTTCTATTTAAGTTGACTGATTCAGTTACTTATCAGAAATTTCAGATGCTACTCTGCCCAATAACTCTATGAATACCAGCTTCACCTCTCAATATACCGTAAATGCCGGCATATAAGACGACTTCCACGAGCGCTGAAATCGGCGCCAAAGATGGGGGTCGTCTTATACGCCGAGTCGTCTTATACGCCGGAAATACTGGTAGTTTCCGGCGTATAAGATGACGTTCTAGGAATGCGGCCCGGCTATAAAGACGGGGGTCGTCTTATACGCTGGGTCGCCTAATACACCAGCATATACGGTAACTGTGCCATGCAGTGTTAGATGCAGAGAAGATAGGACTCTATCTACTTCACTTAAATAGAAATATGAGAAAGCATATTGCCCAACCACTCATCCACAAAACTTGAAACTTTCTGTATGTTTTCATGTGAAAACAAACAGTACTTGCCTTCCCCAAAGTTTGTTGCTTAATATAGAATGGTTACGGATTGAAGATGTGGGACAAATGTGCACTGTCTGACCTTGTCCATTTTGTTAAATATATCCATGCTGACTTCTTGAAAAGAATGAAGTGGTAGGACCAAGAAGGGCCTTCTTCATGGTGGCTCCTTCCCTGTTATTTGAAGGACCATCATTTCCCAGTCATTGCTACCTGACCTACCAAAGCGGAGAGGCAGGAGATGTTATGAGTCCCTCCTCTTTAAGGAGGTCCATTTGGTGGGACCAAGAAGAAGAGCCTGGTTCCTTCCCTATAAAACATCATCCCTGTGCAGATAAAATTGGCCCCCACCTTGACTCTCTTTCAAAAGACCCTGAAGTCATGAATTTGCCAATGGGCATGAAGACCCCAGAGGGATATAAAGCCCATCAAGGGGGTGGTGTGATTGTTGTCACCAGGACGGAGGTGTTATTAGGATCTGCATTGGGTTTGAAGCCACTCGGAGTTATTGTGAGTGAGTGGAGTGGCCATATAAATGTTATAAATAACTAAACAAACAAATTACAACTCCTATCATATTACTGGTGTGAGGTCCTTGGTACTATCTGAGCTTAGCTGTTTTCTTGCAGAAGTTTCATGGCTCAACTAGATAACATCATCAGTGAAGAGGGTTTGCAAAGCAGCCTCCTCCTCCTCCTCCACACACCCACTCTCTTCCAGCACTGATTTGATTTAAACTAGTTTTCCTATTAAGGCTAAGAAATTTTTTTAAAACTATGTGTTTGCCAAAATTTGAAGAAAATTTAGAGATTAATGATGTGCAAAAGTTGATGATTTGGGAATGAAAATTCCAGTGTACTCTAAAATATTTTGTTTACTTCCGTCCATACCATTTCTGAGGCTATTTGGCAGCTTTTGTAAGCAAAGCCACTTAGCTGGAAGTACTCTAAAAGTTGTTGAAATGGTCTGGCCCCAAAGCAGATCTGCTTCATTCAGAATACCATCTTTGGATCATCTCAAATACTCCTGAAACAGTATGGTCTATAGAAGAATGCTACAGAATGTTCCGTTTTAAGACTGAAAAAAATGCTGATTCCTAGTGGATAGTTTAATATTCCTTTGACAGAATAAGGTTTCAAAATAGGACAGCAAAATATAATGACTTAAACCACCAGCCTTTCTTGAATCATTTTATTTTACAAAAATCCTTTTTGGGTCACAGGAAATCCCTGCATAAAAACCACAAATACAAAAATTTCAAACTACAGTTCTCTTTTAACCCACATAATCCACTTTTTACAATGCTTACAACAACAGCAAAGTAAAATATCTGCAGCCCAGTTTTTAAAATTCCTACTGTTGTAAGTGGTAACATCACATAGCAAATGTTCAAACACAATGTTTTGCTTTGTGGCTTCTTTTTAATCATAATCTCTCACAAAAGCCTCTAACAGAACCCTGGCTATCATGTTTTCTGAATTCAAAAATGGCCTCTTCTCAAGACAACAATAAGCATAAAGAATAGTATGCACTTTTATTACCTTCCATACCATTTTTTTTTAAAAAAAAACATATCAACTGACTTTGATATCATTTATATTAGAATTTAGACAGCAATTAAGTAGCTGTCTTAAGTAGCAATTAATTTACCTGAGTAGATTTGTCCTTCATGCATGAAGGATAATGTATATGAGGATCTCGTGGCCACTGTCCTGTGAGGTAAGGTCCTGTTATTGTATCCAATGAAGAGGTTCGCCTTATAGTATTAGATGTTCTAATTTGCTGGGCTTTTGGCTTGTCCACTGAAATAAAAAACATGTTACATGCATGATTATATGTATAGGGTTATAAATAGTTTTCCATCTTCTGTTCAGTGTGACAATTTATACAAGATCAATAAATTAGCAACAATCTCTTTCATTTACAATTTCATTCTAAATCTCTTTCTCAATAAAGGAATTCCAGCATTTAGAAGTACTATTATGATTGATGAAATATGCATGCTACAATCATGGGAAAAATACTTAACTGAATTTCTTCGTTCATTCTTATCTCTTTTAGATACTTCTGTTTAAAAATATAAGCTTCTATGATATTTTCTTTTGAGAACAGATATCTCGATAAACAAGAGATGAACACATAAGCCAAGCGATGTATATAACTGACCTTTTTACTTGTTTTATTAGAGAAAATAACTCTTCTACATGGCATGGCTTGGGCCTATGCTACAGTGGTGTTAAAAAGTCTGTGAAGCCCTTGAACATGTTCAATATTTCTGCATAAATATGAACTAAAACATGATCTTTATTCCATACAGGTCCTAAAATTAAATAAAAAGAACCTATTTAAATAAATGAGTCAAAAATATTATACTTGTTCATTTATTCATTGAGGACAATAATCTCAAATTACTTATTTGTGTGTACCAAAATTATGTGACCCTTTGCTTTCAGTAATTGGTATCCTTCCTTTGGCATACTAAACTAAATGTTAAATGCAATTAAATGTTTATGGTAACCATTGATCAGTCCTGCATATGGGCTTAAGAGGATAGCATCAACAGACCTTCTTCACATGAACTTCACGCTTTAGGACTTTCACAGCATTTCTAATAGGATTAATGTTCAGACTTTGACTTGATCATCCCAAAACATTAGCTTTCTTCTGCTTTAACCATACACTGATACTACAACTTATGTGTTTTGTATCACTGTCTCACTGCATGACCCACTTTTTCTTGAGCTTCAGTTCATGGGCACACACCCCAACATTTTCCTGTTGAATTTGCTGGTACAATTCAGAATTCACAGTGCCATCAAAGATAGCAAGTCGCCTTATTTCAAAAGAAGCAAAGCAGTTCCAAATTAAGATAATGCCAGCTCCATTCTTATGCTGAAATGCATGTTTGCCTTTCACCAAACATAACTCATTTCATTCGAGTAAAAAGTTCTATTTCGGCCTCATCTATCCACAGAACATTCTTACAACAGCCTTCTGCCTTAACCACAAGGTCTTTTGCAAACTGCACTTGGATAGCAATGTTATTTTTGTAAAATAGTGGCTTTTTCCCTATAACCTGCCATGAACATCTCTGTTGTTCAGTGTTCTCCTGATGGTAGTCTCATAAACCCTGACATTTGCCAATGCAAAAGAGGCCTTTAATTCTTCAAAAGTTATTGTGAGCTTCTTTGAGCCCTCATAGAATATTACACAACTTGCTATTGATGTGATCTTGATTGGTCAGTCACTCCCAGGGAAAGTAAAAAGCTGTTGCACTGCATCCATCTGTACATGATTTGCCTGACAGTGAACTGGTGGAGTCGAAATCCTTTCCAATAGTTCTGTACCTTTTTCTAGTCTGGTTAGTATCAACAATGTTTTTAGTTGTTTGCAGAAATTTCTTTGTTAGAACTATGAAAATCAGACTTGAATAGCGAATTCCTAATATTCTAACATCCCACACATGATTAACATTCTATTGATTACAACATGATTCTAATTTCCCCTCTGAATGTATCCTAAAGGTTTATATACTTTTAATCTTAGGGATTCAAAAACTTTTAAGCACCTCTTAAAAATGTATTAAAATATTTGGAAAAATATTTTTCTTTCCAAACTTATAACAGTTGTGATAGCTATGTATTTAGCCAAATATTAAAGTTATTAAAAAAATAAAGCCTAATGTTAGGGATACGTAATTTTGTCAGTTTCTTTCAGCACACTTACAATTTTATCTTTGTATTAATGCAATATAAAAAACTACCTGACATAGATAACATATTCTATAAAATCCACATACGCAAATATTTCCATCTCCATTCTCTAAGTCAGGGGTTCCCATTCCCCAGGCCACCGACCAGCACCAGTCTCTGGCCCACCATGAATTGGGGCTGTATAAACAAACAAAGCCCAATCAGTGTACGCATTGTATCCCATACAATGCATTGCACATGCGTACAATGCATGTGAAGCCATACCCTCCTGATCGCAGAAAAAACTGCCCTCCATAGAACCAGCCCCTGACACCCAAAAGGTTGGGAGCCACTGTTCTAAGTCATTCTGGCAGAATGGATCAAAAAGATACCATACTAATAAGACATTCCCATTTTTTCATTATGGAAGCTATTTATGGATTGGGGAAACATGCCACGGAAATGCCATCTTTAGTAACAGACTACTACACGTTCTCAGTATATATGGCCAAGACACAAAATATTAATTTAATCAAGGACTCTATTACAATTAGTTAATTGTGTCATAATTACGCTTTACTTTTAGTTGACAGAAGGTATATTTTAGGACCAGAAACATAGATATATAATCAACTACTTTGTAGGCAGAAAAATGATCATATGATCAAAAATAATTATATGATTACAGTAATATAACTAAAACCCAGGGGAGAAGGAGAAAAGTGAAAAGTCAGAATACAGGATATATCTAGGCCCTTAGTAAGAATCAGACAACTACAATGCTATAATATATAGCATTATTAATGCACTGTAACAATAAGATAACTTTACCATTTTTTGGCAGTGCCCTCCTACTTTCTCCTATCTTAAAATTCCTCTGTCTTCTTCATCAACTAAAATTATTTTATAAAAAATATTTAATAAAACAAAAACTATAATATCACTAGTAATCTCCCTTCCCCACTACCCAAGAAAAAAATTAGCAAATTCTTACGCACTATAGCTGAATCCCGGTGTATATTACAAATACTAAAATAATAGTAATTAGCAATAGCACTTACACTTATATACCGCTTCAGAGTGCTTTCCAGTCCTCCCTAAACTGTTTATAGAGTTAGCATATTACCTCCAAGAATCTGGATTCTCATTTTACTGACCTTGAAAGGATGGAAGGCTGAGACAACCTTGAACCAGTAAGAATCAAACTACTGAACTCCTGGCAGTCCACAGAATTAGCCTGCAATACTGCATTCTAACCACTGCACCACACAAAATAATACTACTTATATGTGGGATCAGAAAAGAAAAAAACTGCTTTAAAAGTTCTTGTTCAAAATAGAAAAGCAAAACAAAAATGTTATAATTATCTAAACTATTCACAACTCTTAACGCCTAAATTGAAATGCTTTTTCCCATCTCAGGCTATGAGAAATTTAGGGACCTGGGTGAATTAAGCAGAAATATGCACATTAATATTGTACATGTTCCAAGTGTTACTATGCCTTTCAAGATATTTTTAACTTGGATGAAATCTAATCTCTTTCTTCACAATCTAAAGATTTTGTGGAATGATAATTAAGATTGGGAAAAGGACCATAAAATATTCTAATTTTGAGGAAGGATAAAAAATATATTTTTAGGTTTTAGGCATTGGAAAGATTCTATTTTTCTTTCCCTTGTGAAAGGCAATAAGCATATTCAATCCTGATCAGACTTCAAAAAAAAAAAAAAACAAAAAACCACCCTGCCAAAAATTCTTTTTATAGCTACCACCCTTCCTGCTAAGCATGTAAAAAATCATGTTTGTTTCAAGTTCAGGATTCAGTCAGAAAAAAGTCACAAATGTAATTCCTAAACTCTTGTATTTTAATGAGGGAAAGAGTGTTTCATTTACTTAAATATCATCCATAATGAAACTATCACCATTATAGTCTATATGACAATTAAGGTTAAACTAAATCAGCTAGGTTAATAGCCTAGTTGTTTGGATTTCTACTGTCTAGATTTCTGCAGCAACTGAACAACAAACTAACCAATTATATTTTAATTTTACAATTTGCAGAAACCCAAACCAGAATGTTTTTTGTATGCGTAATTTGTCTCTGTAGTCAGCATGTCAGGCACTGAAAACAAGTACTATGTCTATTTGCAAATATGGCAAAATACATCTAACTGATAATGCATACTTCTATAAGCAACCATTCTATCACACCAGTGATCTGTATGGATCTTAAATCTGTTCTCTGAAATATGAGCCTCAGAATCATTTAGATTCACACAACTGTGTTAAGAATGCAAAATTATTTATTAGTTGGAAATTATCTGTATCCCTTAGGTGTTAACAATGTATACATATAAAATTGCATGTTACTAACACAGCAGTATATATAATAATACAATAATAGTTTCATTCAAATCACCAAAATAAAGATTATTATTAGTATTTCTGCATAAGTTTTCAGTATTAAAAAATAAAAAGGCTTATTTTGTGAGGCTCACTATATGCCAATGGTTCTCAACCTGTGGGTCGGGACCCCATTTGGGGTCGAACAACCATTTCACGGGGGTCGCCAAACAAGGCTGTCTGCCATTTTTTCCCCCTTTTCTTTGGCCAGGCCCCTGGCACCCGGTTATGTATAAGTGGTTGGGGGTCACCACAACATGGGGAACTGTATTATGGGGTCGCGGCATTAGAAAGGTTGAGAACCACTGCTATATGCTAAAAAATATGAAAAACAAGAACTTTAATAACCCTGAGACTTGGACAGGTTCACTGAATTAAAATAATCCATTCACAAAATTTGAATGTAGGTATTTAGGATTTAATATCCTAGCTTTAAAACTGACTGAACTGTCCATTTCACTGACATAGCTATTGTTTCTTTAAAGTTGAAAAAAAAAAATTCAGAAAGCACTGTCATAAAAAAATATGACTGGAGTAATATCAGTATTTGGGGGGGGGGGAGAATTAGAAGCTTAAAGCCTCCTTGGGATTATCAAACTAATATTAGAGTTCTTTGGATTTTGGCCAGAGCAGTTCAAGTTCTGGCATATAGTTAATTTTATTACATTTTATATCTTTGTAGTAAACAGAAGTTCTCCCTATCCAAGCAACCAGTGACAAAGTAAACTCAGAATTCATAGCCTCATAAACATAAATTTAGAAACTATCTGATGTCTTCCTGCATTGTGGCATTTCAAGGCATTGGGCCACCAAACATATCAGAAAGAGTTCATTATGTCATATACTATGAAATCAAATATGAAACCAATTACAAATTTCAGTTTTCACTATAAACTCATTATTTATGACTCAGATTAATTTCCTTTCACTTAAAGTATTAGATTGGCCAAAGGTTTGGGCTGGTGAAAAAAGCTTATGGGATGTGTTCTAGAGCTTAATGCAATCAATACAACCGTCAAAATTGCTCTTAAAATGTTGGCAATAGTTCATAGAAGCTTGTTAAAAAATTAATCTTTATAAATGACAAGTTACACATATTTAAACTATACTGAAGTAATTACACATTTTAATCATCATCTCCTCTTGCCATTATAGATATTTGAAAAAGTATTTTATTTGGCATATGATAAGAACATGACAAAGGATGTAACATATTTGTAAGACATTAATTTTATTTAAAATAAACTATTTTAGAAGTAGCTTGCATTTCTCACAATTTAAAGGCCATGACCTTTTATAGTATTTAGATAACCAATATATTAATGGAATGGCAGCCAATCCATGCTAGTCAGTTATGTTTATTCTTTGCAACTATTTACAAATGGGTTAACTCCTGCATATTTTTCATTTGTAATACTACCAAGGCATTTTATAAAATGTATGCTGTATTGCATGTTTGAATAGAAATAGAGCAAGATATAGTTCAATATCATAAAAAATTCACAAACTGTAAGATACCAGATAGCATATAGTGCCTCAAATACACAAGCACAAAATATAAAATGCAATGATGTGTAATTAAGCAGATGAAGTCGATAAACATGGAAGTTACAGTAATATTTTGCAAAATGTATACCTATAAATTTAATATGTAATTATTCTCTGGCTTGTAAGTTTTTGAACTCAGAATTAGTACTAATTTTGAAGCAAGAATTTGAGAGCATCCTAGAAATGAAAAATGAGGGTGGGAGAGACTGTTTTTTACAGAAAACTGTTTTCATTCATGCAGGAATGATGTCAGCGTCTGCAGTGGCAGCTGCCTGACTTGTACAAGCTTCCAATCCACAGCACTTTGCAGCTTTCAGAATATCTAGCAATTTGTTGTTTACATGTTCTTATGAAAAATTTCACTGCAATAGCTGCATTGTAAAAAGATAGAAGAATCATACAACACAAAAGAAAAAGAATTTAAGTTCCATATTTTTCCTAAAAAACAGACCACAGATCATTTGCACTTTTATATATATTAAACACCGATGATTACATCTCCATTTCTGGCAGTTAATATAAATACAAAGTAAGATTCTCAGATGTTTAGTAGTTGAAGCATTATCTCCCAATACAGCTAAGATCCAAAGCAATTCTTAAGCCTCTGCAAATGCAGATTGCTATTTCAATTATGCTACACAGGCCAGCTACACAGCTGAGGAAAGAACAAATCAAAAATGGCATGGGTTTTGTGTTCAAAGCCAACTGCATATCCCAAAACCAATTTTGCAGAGTTAAAAAAAAAGTATTTTACTTTGTAACTTACAGAATATAGCTATTGAGTTGTGTAAAAAAAAACATGCTTATCAAATTACAGGAATGGATGATTAAAACTAGTTAGTTAATGTACTTATCAACCAGTCAGAGCAAACTGGCTGAATCATTACTACACGCATTCAGGTAAGTGTGTCAGCTATTTCATATTGTTGGATGCTCACATTTATCCTCAAACCGTTGACTGCAACAAATGCCAAAGGCAGAGTTAAAACATGGTCATGTTAATTTCTGGCTTAAAGGACTGATTGAATATAACTTAATTTACTCTTTTAAAAATATTTTAGGAAAGGGTTTAAGCCATATATAAAAGAGTTTATTTTACCCTGAATAAATATTCTATGAAAAGAGGTTTCATATTATATTACTTTTTTAAAGTAAATAAATGTTCTTACTACTTCGTCTGTCTGAATTTTTCTTGTGCCCCAGTTTAATTTTTTTAAACTTGATAATATAAAGTTAAATTTTTATCAAGTCAGATAAAGATTAATTCCATAAATAATTTCCAAATACTTTTTCTAAATGAAGATTCAAATGCAAAGAACCATAATATACATTTTGGTATAATTTTTCAAATCAGAGGAGTGAATAACTTGTGAAATTCATCTATCTTAAGAATTAATGGGAAGAATTTAAGCAAAGAATCAGCTTGCTGCTTATATTACCAAGAGGCTTACATATTTAATTTGTTATTAAAATTAAACACAGATCCAGCATTATTACAGATGCAAAACGATTGAAGATGAAGTATATAATTATAATAAGTAGTGAATTAATTTGATTCATCTAAATATGGAAAGGAAAAAGGACAGTTGGACAGTTAAAATAATCATTCACATTAGAAGACTTAAATAATTCATTGGTTTCTGTAACACTTAGAATGTGTTTTGATTTATATCTGCAATATATTGAGGAACTTAATTTACAAATTTACATGACATATTTAAAATGAATGAACAAGGAAACACATATTCTAAGATTATAAACCTCACTAACATTTAGGTTTAATCTGCAAAGGGATTATTGCATTTATACTTTTATAAGACTTTTTGTACAAACTGCAGGCATTCACATAACCTACAGGTTTTAGAAATGCTGTAAACAATTGTCCTGCCATCACATCCTATGGCTGATAATATAAAGAATTTGCACTTCTATTAGCAGTATTTTATTTTAATCTAGTTTTCATATTTCTTATTTCTGTAAGTAGAAGCATATATCGATTTCTAAAGCACATTGTTAGGAATGTAAATTATATAGAAATATAGTTAGTATTAGCACTTGGCTTCCCTTTAAGTCCCTTAAATTCAAGTTGCATTTTAGTCACTGAAACAGATGAGAATCTGCATAAAAAGCATGAATTCAGCATTAAAGCTCTCAATCATAAAAAACTTGATAAATTGTTAAAAGAGCAAACCACTAACAATTTTCAGCACTCACATCAATGTATAATGCATTTCAAATTGTGTTATTCCAAATTAAGCTCCAAGATTCTACACTTCCAAGCCCTCATTTTACTCATCTATTTGGATTGAAAAAAAACAATGCTTTTGTTACCTTTTAGTTGCCCGATTCTTGAGAAATAAAGTGATATGAGATCAAGAAATCAACGTATAAGTAAAGGGCCAAATCTTTTTCGGTTTCAGCTGAGGAAAAGCTTTTGTTTAGAAATCTGTTATTTCTCTTTTGAGCTGCCCAATTGAAGCTTCAATGACACAGTAGAACTTACAAAGAAATCACTTAGCAATGTTGAAGGGCGGACGTTTGTTAAGTATGGTAAATTTAAGTCTATTATTTTCCTTACTAATCGTGTTAGGTCTTTGGGAGGGGGACAGTACGACAAGGGAGGCTTTTATGGGAGTGGGTGGGTTACAGCTCTAGCCAGTTTCCGCTTTACCTCTATATATGGGCGAACTGGGGCTCCTTCTCTCAGGTGAGCTGCTCCTCCGCCTGCCGCTGTTGATGGTGGTGGTAGCGGTGCCGCTGCTGTCAGGCGAGCGCTTCTGCCTTACCTTCACCCTGCTCGGTTCTACCACCCCGCCTGCTCCCGGCGGGGCAACGACGACGACGGTAGCAGGAGCAGCCGCCAGAGCCAACGGCGAAGTAGAGTTTGGTGGAGGCGGACTGCCGCCGTTCCCTCCTCCTCCCCCTGCGCCGCGCGGCCCTCCAGGGCCGGTATTGCTCCCCACGGAGGCTGAGGAGGTCGGCAAGCGAGTGGGGCTGTGCTGATTGCCCCTCAGGAGCTGAAAAGGGACGGTGGCGCGGATCGGCTGGAGCAGCCGGCTAGTCACAGCGCCACCACTGGAGGCGCCTCCAACGCCGTTTCCTCCGCCGCCAGACCCATTACTACCAACCGAAACCCCGGCGTTACCGCTGGTTGGGGACCCGGCGGCGCCACGGCGCATCCTCTGCGGGGTCTGGTGGTGAGGAGGGGTCTGCGAGGAGGAGCTGGACATGGCGGCACTCCGAAGGCGAAATAAACAAGGAAGGCTTTTCTCTGACTGTCTCACGCGCGAACACGCCCTCTGGAAGAGGGGACAGGACGAGGCCGAGAGAAGCAGTTTCCAGCGGGTTCAGCGGCGCGTTTATCGCCGGGATGTGGCCATGACTGCCCGCCTCGGCAGCTTAACCACTCGCGGCTTACATCGTCCATGGACGAGGCGGCGAATACTACAGACGAGGAGGAGGAGGAGCAGCGGCGAAGTGGGCGGGGAGCATAAGACTCGGGCTCCTGCCTGACTAGGAACTCCAGATCACCACCGCACCTGCAACCCACCACCTAACCCCCAACTCCACCGTCCTCTTCCTAAATACCCACCGCAGGTTCCCCTACCCTGCCTGTGGCGCGCAAGAGGTGCCCAGCCATGCGCCCATTGGGCGCCCGGCCGCCGTTAATTCGTGTCTAATTGGTCAGAATCTTCGAAAGGCAGCATATCTGACCAACCATTGCCTTCCACTTTACCTGTAGGTGGAGAAGAGGGCGAGAGGGAGGGGATGGTGGCTGAAAGCCGCTTTGTGTAGGGATGTGTAGGAGGTAGGGCAGTTTTAGTAAAGTTACTATTATAGGGAGTACATGATGAAGGACTGTCTCTGATAATTATTACTATTTGCTTCCAGGACTGCTTCTTAATGTACTGTAATGTACAGGAAGCTGGAAATTATAAACAAATACTAGCGTCCTAAAGTGCTAACCCTACTTAAGAATTAAACCTTCAGATGTTGGAGCAATAGCAATCTGAAGTTTATTAATTCTAAGAAAATACTGATATTTTAAAAAAATCAGAGCAGTGCCTACACTTAGAAGTGAAAATTCTTCCAGAGAAGACCATCGTTTTTTAAAAAAATAAAACATGTTAATTTTAGACATTCAGAACTCTTGTCTAAACTCTTTATTTTGAAAGTATCATAAGTGAAAATCAGGCACCTTAATATTTCACATTAATTTAGTTTTTTGGGAGCTATTTGGCACTAGAGTAGCAAATACAAATATATATTTATATTTAATATAAACAAATATAAAATAACAGATCAGTTGGGTCTTACCTGTACCTGGCAGCAGTCCTGGTTGGGGCATCGCTTCCTGGGCCGTCCCCGGGCTACTCCCTGGGCAGCCGAGCTGGCCACTCGTCTCCTCAGGCTGGGCTGGGCGACAGTCCTGGCTGGGCCGGCAGCCGGCGGGGGCATTGCTCCCTGGGTTGTCCCCAGGCCGCTTCCTGCCTGGGCAGCTGAGCTGGCCACGCATCTCCCTGGGCCGTTCTGTGGTGCCCCAGGTGCCTTCTGCTGCTCCTGCCCCCTCCACACACTTCCTGGGACCTCTGCCCATTTTCCCACACCCGGAGCAGGAGAGGAAGCGCTGCTTTCTGGGCATCAGAAGGGGCTTCCCCCTCCCAGCCCCCCATCCACCAGGAAGAGGGCGCTCCTCTGGACTGGGGCTGTGCGAATTGCAGCCTGCAGGATTTGGCTCTGGAAAGGCTGGACTGGCCAGCCGGCAGGGGAGGCCAGGCAGCCCCGGCGAGGGAGCCGCTCTTGCCCTGTAGTTGGCTGGCCAGGAATCCTGTCCAGCTCGGCGGGAAGCTTGGGGGCCACCTGACTGCCGCGGGGGTGTCCATCTCAGCCGCCTCTGGCAGGCCCGCTAATTATGGGCTCCCTGCTGGCTTCTTCCGTGAGTCAGGCACCCAGGACTCCACAGAGCCGCCCCTAATTGCACCCTGGTCTGATCTCCAAAATGCTGCTTGCCCGAATTCTTTCTGCCTACGGGGGGAAGTTGTGCCTCATGGCTCAATTATTGCGGATGTCCTTGTTGTTGTGCATCTAATCACGCCTTTGAAACGCGGGCCAGGAGAAATCTCATCCATCCTGCCGAACTGAGTAGGGACCAAGGGAAAGGAGGAGGAAAAAAGGAAAGCAGGCAGCGCTTTGCTAGAATGGAGGGATCAGTGGCTTTGGAGCAGGAGCGTCGATGGGGAAAAAGAGAGGCTCTGTTTTTCAGGGGCGCTGCCTTGTAAGCAGCCCAAATCTCAGCCCTGCGTTTGACCGCCCCACATGCAAATGCTGCCGTGGTGGCTGCGTTCACACCTGCAGTGCTTGGCTAGTTTTCTGTTGTGTCATGAACTCAGCCGCGTCGGCCTCCTGGATGCCAGCACCAGGAAGCTGGGCTCGATTTCCCTGGAGCTGTTGTGGGGTGTAGCCAAGAGCGAGCCTTGCAGCTACCTCGCTTGTCCCACCCCGCCAGCAGGGGTGGGACAAGCCTTCGTCACAAAGCCGTCTCCCCCTTTGCCCCCCCAGGTCCCCCAGTAGCGTCCAACCAAACAGCTAACAGAAGCAAATGAGGCAGCCTCGTCACTCAATACATAGGTTTCTTTTAATATAAAAAGTGTCTATTAAATATTTCTTCCTAAATACACAAAAAGATTAATTGGTGTGCCAGAGAGGGAGCAGTAAAAAAAAAAAAGAGTGGTGGTGGGGATTCAGGGGCTGGACAAAGATGATTTTTTTTGGCCAGGGAGAGGAATCAAGCAAGCAGCAGCAGCAGTTTAGATGGTGCCAATCCAGAGGATAGGAGTACGGAAGTTTCTAAAACAGGAAAAGGAGGGAATAGAGAGCAGGACAAAAGGTGGGCGGGGGAGTGGGGAGTTGCATGCATGCCTACACGCACAGGTAAAAAGGGGGGAACAGCACTCCCAAGTATGGGCGCACATGGCGGATTCTGGACATTGCTTTGACTTTGATAATGTATGCATCCTGTGCGGTGACAATACGAAAGAGGGCCGGTTACTAAAAGAGGCATGGCTCTCTGACAGGGACTCTGTCAACCGGCACATCGATTTGTGCCCAGCACATCTAACTTTAAGAGCATGGAGCAGGCGAGACCGCCCACCCCTAAGGAGACACCCTGCTACAGTACCACGTAACCCTAGGGAAGAAGTTATGGAGGGGATGAATTTTCACACACACACCCCCAACAACAGCAATGGCCCATGGACATTCAGGAGAATAGTCAACGATTGAGGGACTTCTCCCCCCTTGCTCCAGGACCATGCACATGCTCCCAGACAGTGAGAGAACGGTTGCATGATGAGAAACAGGCAATTAGCCAACGAACAATCATTCCCGACCCCCCGAAATCCAAAACAGTGATGATCCAGCAGCATCAAGAAAGAAGGAGGATGGGACCGGCTTGCCCTGTGACGACAGTCCATCAACGGAAACAATAGAGTGCCAATCGGAACGCCCAAGAGAATATAGAGATCGAGAGCAGTGTGAATGGGGGGAAATGCAAATAAGGGTAGAACGTGATAGAAACTGTAAAAAAGATCACTGTGTTGATGGAGGGAGGGATACAAAGGAACCAGGCATACGTATTCAAAAAAGGAGGGCACACAAGGGCTTGTATGAGGAGGAAGGAGATATTCAAGGGATTCAGTCTGACGTGGAGTCCGAGAACATTGATAATGGGGTGAAAGAGCAAGTAGATGTCAGACGGAATGGCAACGACAGAAACGAAGTTATGCAGCCAAAGAGAGGGAAATGGAAAGCAAGGGATGGGGAGAAAGGCTGAGAGTGTGCCCCCATAGAATGAGGGATGACAATTGGGGAGCAAGTAAAGATCAGAAGAAGGAGGAAGGTAGGAGACACGGAGGTGTGAAGAGGGAACAACTTAGAGATACAAATGACCAAAAAAGGGGAGGAAAGAACCTCCCTAATTCAAGACAGTGGGAGGTAGAGGGGAATAATGACACACCCACAAGCAGTAAAAGCAAGAAAAGAGGAGTCATCAGTATGGAAGCCATAATTAAAAAGCAGTTAAATCAATTAGGACCTACGACAAGATCTAAGAGCTGTGTGCAAATGACGGCTCACCTATAAAGGCACTCTCCCACAGACCAGCATTAACCCTGATGATGTCAGAAGTATCTGACGAAAGCTTGGTGATCGGTGATGGTATTAAACTTTTATAGTTTATTATATTCCTGGTGTTCACGTTTTATTGGTAATTGACTATGGATTCACCCAGGAATCACATTTTTATTTTCACTATTCTTATTAATATATATATATATATATATATATATATATATATATATATATATATATATATATACACACACACACACATACATTTTTAGATTGCAAACAAAGAATAAAGGGAGAACTGGGATAGCTATTTCGAGTTTCTTAACTCTCTTCAGCCAGACTTACCCTTCTGAGATTCAAATCTGGGCTGTGTGCATGTTAATCAGCTGTATTAACCTCTAGGGCACAGGCTGTTTCTCGCTTTGTCAGCTGTATCAGGGAGGGAAGAGAGAGGGGGAGGAGATTTACCTTGAGTGTTTCTTGATGCACCCTGCTGGCCCAAATATGGGAGAAAGAAATCTTCTTTCTTTTTCTTTTTTCTTTTTTCTTTTATATATATGTAGGTCTTTGGTTATTCGGGTTTTCTCCTGCGTAAAATTGGAAGTGTCTTGGCAACGTTTTGACAAAGTCCCATTCACCATCTTCAGGCTGGTGTTTTCAGCTTCGTGCTTCGAGGAGCACGAAGCTGAAAACACCAGCCTGAAGATGACGAATGGGACTTCGTCGAAATGTTGCCAAGACACTTCCAATTTTACGCGGGAGAAAATCCGATCAACCAAAGACCTACATACAAACACCCACGAAAACCTCAGAAAATATATATATATATATATATATATATATATATATATATATATATATATACACACACACATACACACATACATAAATATACATATACATACATACGTGCATACAGACACACACACACACACACACACCTATAATAAAGGTTAAAAAAGGATATATGCAGTTTTATCTTCATTTTAGATATCAAAAGTGTTTTGCGGCTCCTCGTGTTTTGTTTTCGGTGGGAAACGTGTCCAAGTGGCTCTTTGAGTGTTTTGGGTTGCTTGAGCAGGGGACTGGACTAGAACAGGGCTTTTCAACCAGTGATACGGGTACCATCTGTGGTACATTGGCACCTGGCAGGTGGTACACGACCATCCAAGAAAAGTGGTAGCAGGGGAGGGGAATGAGCTGAACCGGTGGCAGCACTGCACAAGCCTGAATGAGAGATAGCTAGAGCTGCAGGGCTGTCAGGGCTCAGCGGAATCACCAGGATCAGCACTTCTTTGGGACTGTCAGGGCTCAGAGGAAGTGCCAGGATCAGCGCCAGGTTCCGGCTGGAGTTTGGCACTGATCCTGATGCTTCTGCTGAGCCCAGAAGAAGTGCCAATCAGCTGGAATGTTGCAGCATCTCCAGGATCTTGTGATTTACATTCAGATGCTTGGCAACTGATTCATATTTATGACGGTCACAGTGTCCCAGGGTCATGTGAAGTGACCAAAACCTGCTGTAACCACCCAGCAGCCGGGGGGAATAAAAACCAAACACCCCCCCACCGCTTCCAATCCTCAACAGAAATGCTCACAACAATGAAAACTTTGGACAGGAGGAAGAGTGCTGCCAGGTGAGCAGGCAGGTGTCTTGCTTGGCTGTGGCTTGGGAGGCACTTTTTTCAGTGCCATTGTAACTTCAAACAGTCACTAAGCAAACTGTTGTAAGTAGAGTACTATCTGTACTTTATCACTTTTTTCCTTTTTTTTTTTTGGTCATCAAGTTTTTGACACCTTGCTAGGCGACTCCTGGTACTAGGATATTGCCATATCCTAAAAGTGGTACAATGGGTGAAAAGGTTGAAAAGCCTTGGACTAGAAGACCTCCAAGTTTCCTTCCAGCTCTATTCTATTCCTATTCCTATCATTTTGTACTATCTATTCATGTGGT